TAGACACTGGGTGGGCAGTATAGCACGGCTGTGGCCATCTGGGTACAAAGGACATGAGGGAGGTGAGAACCAACAGAACAGCAGAGAATGGAGCTAGAACCACTGGATAAAGTCCACCTTGAAACCCACTCTCCCTCTGGACTTCCAGTTGTGTGAGCCAAGAAATTCATTGACACCAATTTGGGACTTTCTGTTATTTGTAGTTGAAGTTAGCTGATGGCTACAGCACTCCATGAAAGGTGCCCTCCTTAGCTGGTGACCCTCAAAAACCTTACCAGAGTCTATCTCCAGGACCCACCTGCCCCATGTTGCCTGATATCTTTTGGATAATATTGGCATTGGAACTGGTTTCGAGTCTGTGCTTAGCCCCTGTGGATGGGCTCACCTTGTCTTTTGCTCTGCATGGCTTCTTCCTGTCTCTCTCAGCCATGACTCCCGGGGACTCCCCCGAACACCCTGCCTGCCTGCCTGCCTGCCTGCCTGGAAGGGGGCCCAGCCCAGACTCCCACCCCAGAGTTCCCACTTGTCCCAGGCATCCCACAACCATTCCCAGTGAGGCAGCCCTGCCAAGCCACAGTGTCCTCCAAGTGCTCTGACCTCTTAGCTGGGACTGATTTTCATGAACCAAGAGAGTCTTCATTTAGAGCTTTAGAAGGCATGCAGTGCTCTCAGCACAGAGCTCTATAGCCTTATGCTGAGGCCCTGGGCTGTTTATTGGTTCTGAAAATGAAGCTCTAAGACTACCAGTGTGAGAATCACCTGTAACAGAATCAGACGCTTGTTAAAAATGCAGAGTCCCAGGCCTGCCGCACATAATTCCTAGCAGAGCTGTGGAAGCCCTACTTTTCACAGCCCAGCTGTGGTCATTGCAAACTCCGGGTCACCCCAAAGGCAGCTCAGCTTCCAGCCTCAGCATCTGATGAAACAGAGGCCGAGGCAATGGGTGAGGGCGGCTAGGGAGGAGACAGAATTGTGAAGGTGGAGACAGCGTGTGTAGGAAGAGTGACAGAAAGGTGCTGGCCTGTTTCAGATGCACAGTAGGGAACTGTGCCTAAAGGCGGGCTTGAGTTATCACAGATGTTTGTTTTCCATTTCCTTTGATTTTCGCCTTTGCGTGTCTGCGAGCCTTTGTCTGCAGGCATGATTTGCCTCCAGACACGTCCGGCATCACTGCACAACCCTCTACAGATCTAGAGTCAGTGACAAAGGATGAGGCTAAAAACAAAATGTCCAAGATCCAAAGGACATAGCAAACTCTTGTTAGCTGGTGACCTACATGTCACATAAGTTTTGCCTAACTAAGAGTCGAGTCATCTGACAAACGTTAAATATATTTCCCTGATTCCACGCCCCACCCCACCTCCCAGGTCCGTGCCCGTCCGTGTTTCTCACTTCATGCTTTGTGTGGCTTTCTAAGTTCTTTCCCAGGAAAGAGAGAGAAGCCTACCCACCACCACCTTTTAACTTATGAAATTTGTTTTACCCAGTGACTGACATGACAGAATGCAGATTGCATGGAAAATAATGCCTATAATTTCTGACTGCTAACTTGGACTCCGAATTGAATGTAGGGAGTTTGGACATAACTGGAGAAGAAAGTGTTAGGTTCCAGTTTTTGTGGTTTTTTTTCTCAAAGCATGATTGATGGATGGGAATTCAAAGTTTATTCTAGAATGTAGATCTATTCAAAATGGACCTTGACAGGCCATTCCCTCAGACCCTCCTCATATTCATAGCTAGCCTCCTTGTTTCTTTTATAACCATAAATCTACATATTCCCCTTCTTTCCTGGCCCCACTACTCCAATTCTCATTGGACATTTTGGCACCAAAGTACTTCTCATTTTCTTGTGCGCTAGGGGCAAATTAATCTGAGGTCTGGGATATCTGGCCATTTCAGGTCCCTATGCAATGGACTTAAAAATCCATTTGATGAGCCCTAAAGTCTTTTTTGGATTCTGGTTTGTAAATTACATTGGCAATACCTCAGAGTCACCTTAACACGCACAGGGTTTTCACGTTAGAACGCAAAGCTCAGGTCGCAGTCTACGCCTCTGATCACCAGGAACACCCCCATATTTCATTCTTTCGTTTGGTGGCTCACAAAGTGGCTGTGTATCAGAATCACTTGAGGAGTCTGTTAAGAATACAACTTTCTTACTCAACCCAGACATCAAGAATCTGACTTTCTGGAGTTGGGGGCCAGGAGTCTGATTTTCTCCCCGCCCACCCCCCCTTTTTTTTTTACAAACTCCCCCATATGATTCTCATGCAGACACCAAGGACCTGTTTACTGAAGACTTTGGGGGAGCACTTCCCTGATCCAGCAGTTCTCAAACTTGTTAAAACACAGATGGAACCCTCAGCGTTTCTGAGTCAGCAGGTCTGGCTGGCGTCCAAGAATTTGCATTTCTAATAAGTTTCCAGGTGATCCCGATGCCACTGGTCTGGGGGCCACACCCTGAGAACCTCCCTCTGACCCAGGTAGCTTGTGCGTGCGTTTATTATTCATTAGCATTTCTGCTATGCAGCAAAGGTCCAGGCTTCAGAAGAAGGAAATAATCCTCTGGGGTCAGAGGTGACACTCTGGCTGAGCATGATAAGTTTCACCTGAAAGTTTTTATTTTTTTATTTTTAATTTAACATTCAATTATTGGCATTAGGCTTGGGCTTCTCATCTCAGACCTACTGAATCAACATCTCCAGAATGCCCTGAGCATTTGTTTTGTTTTGAAGTTACCCAGAAGAGTCTGATTTATTACAAGGATTTGAAACCGTTTTCTTAGATGAGCCAGACTTGTGAGTTCATGAATAACCTCAATAAAAAAAATACTTGATTTTTATCGGAAATTCAAATTTAATGGGGCATTCCATATTTTATTTGTAAATCTGTAAATTAAGTTGTTGTTTACCTAAAATTCAAACTTAATGGAGCATCCCATATTTTTATTTGTAAATCTGTAAATTATTTTTTGTTTATCTGAAATCCAAATTTAATGGGGCATCCCATATTTTTATGTCAACCTCCTACTCACTGGGCTGTCTTTGCCAGAAGTTTCTTTCCTCTGTGTATTCCCTCCTTTGCTCAACAATACCCCTATTTTTAACGGCTTGAGGGAGTGGAGGTGAGAAGAGAAATGCATATAAACGTGATGTGTGGGGTGAAGAAGAGAAAATTAAGATGTTTCCATGGGAAAGAATAAGGAAAGCACATACACAAAGAAAAATTCATTAATCTAGACAGCAGAAACAAAATCAGAAAAAAAAAAATGTGCTGTCTGCTAATGGTTTTTTTACCAGACAATTCGTCAATTACACAGTCAAAAGAAACCCCGGGGAATAAAAAGACACAAAAGATGCTATTAAAATGTTCCAAGTGAAGCCATATATAATTAATTTCAAACAAGCATAAGCTATGAAAAAGCAAATACTTCAAGGTGCTGAGTGAAAGGTGGGATAAATCTACATCAGGCTTCAAAACGGCTGCTTCCAGGTGAGTCTAAGTTTAGGCCAGAGACAGGGAGATAATGATGTCTGCCCCCTCCCTGTTTTATGGGACACTAAAGAGCCTTCAGATGAAACGCTCTGTGTGTGTCAAGGATGAGACGAAACATAAATACAGGATAGCCCACGACATTAGCACGTAACTGCTAAGAGCTGGAATGGAACACATGGAATAACAGAGAAAAAAAATTCACTGATGCAGAAGACAAAACAAGGGAAGGGACCTGGCAAACCATTGCCCAGGCTGAGTAATCCTCATTAGCACCATGGTGCCTACAAAGTAAGCAGTTTAAAAAAAAAAAGAAAGCAGTTTTCTTCTTAAGCAGTCTTAACATGTCATAGGTGAGGAGTTAGCAAACTTCTCCTGTAAAGGGTGAGATAGCTTTTAGACTTTGCAGACCATATAGCCTCTGCTGCATCTATGTAAGCCTGCCATTGTAGCGGGAAAGCAGACACAGACAATAAACAGACATAGCTGGGTTTTAATAAAAATGTGTTCACAAAATTAAACGGTGGGACAGATTTGGCCTGTGAGCCATAGTTTGCCAACCCATTTCATAGGTGGCCCGATACTGCAAGGATAGCATTATTACTAGATTCTAAGGGCACTCAACATTCTAATGGTAGACTTTTTTTTTTTTTTTTTAAGAGCTAGGGTCTCACTCTGTCACCCAGGCTAGAGTACAATAATGTGACCATAGCTCAATGCAGTCTGGAACTCTTGGGCTTGAGCAATTCTCCTACCTCAGCTTACTAAGTAGCTGGGACTACAGGTGCACATCACCATACCTGGCTAATTTTTTGCAGAGATGGGGTCTCACTATGTTGCCCAGATTGGTCTTGAACTCCCGGCCGCAAGTGATCCTCCCACCTTGGCCTCCCAAAGTGCTGGGATTACAGGAATAAGCCACTGTGCCCGGTTGTGGATGTTTGATGAAAAAACATTCCATTAATGTATCACTATACATACAAGGGCAGAATGTTTAAAGGTCACTCCAAAGTATGAAGGCAAAAATCAGGATTCTAGAAACAGGGAGAAGACGCTCATTTGAATGTCTAAGGTTCTGCTTCTCTTTTAGGGAAAGAGAAGGAGAGAAGGGAACCAAGTATTTTACCAAGTGTTTAGAGAGGTTCTCCTTGGTGGACCTGACATTCAGAGAGATGATGACTATCGTGGGGAACATGGGGCCCTCACCATTTTCTCTGACTAGGACTCTTGAAGCTGCTACTGCTGAGGGTGTATCATATAATAAGGAGTCGTCTTCCTTGATCAGGGAAGTTCCCTGACATTCTCAACTCACTAAGTTTATGTTTACCATCTGAAAATGTGTCCTTCCCAAAAAAACAGGAAAACTAAGTCACTTTGGTATAGAATTTTATACTTTAACCCAGCATACATCACCAACAGCACATGGAAACAGGACTTCAGTGACGCCCCCATGAGCCTGGTTACACCAGAGGCCTCCACATCAGCCAAGAAGCACGAGCATGCATTGACAGTGTATAATTTAAAAGCTTTATTTCCCCCCAACCATTAGCAAATGGATTTCAACAGTTAGTTCAACAGCAAGTTTTCTCGGTAGTCGCCTTTCTCATTGTCGATGCCATTGGTGGGGGAAACTGCTCTCTCATAGGGGGAAGGGTTAGACTTCACAGAGACACTCTGAACTAATCACAGAAACAAGAGGGTTTGCCCTGGCATCCCCCTGTCAACAAGGTCAACAAACCCTTGCAGCCAAAGGCCTAGTCGGGTGGGACTAATCGCCAGAATCTTCCCTGCAGACCTGGCCAAATGGAGCTCCCTTTTGACCAACAAGCCTGGAAGGTGGAGCATCTTCTCAGTTCTTGCTAAATTCCCATGCTTGGTCTTATGGTCTCACACGGGCGTATTTTATCCAAGCAAACCACCAGCTTCTGCCCTGGGGTCCGAGGTGCACTCTTCACCAAGTGCAAGATTGCTCTTCATGCCAAAGTCCACCGTGCACATTGTTGATGGCTTGTGTTTTCGAGGGCTGGTCTCTGCCCCTCCAAGGAATGGTGGCATCATAGAAACGGAAGCACAAAGACCCAGACGAGCACAGGTAGGCAGGGCACAGGGACGCTGCTGCCGGATGCTCTCTGAGCGTGCATTATGGCGAAGACCGCGTTGGTGTGATTGGTGGGTAGCTCTACGTTGCAGATCATTCCTTCACAGCAAGACCTGCACTCCTGTTACAAAAGGAAAAGAGGAGGAGGAGAGTGACTAATAGGAAAAAGAGAGAAAGGGAAAAACAAAGAAAAACAGAAGAAAGGCTTCACCAGCTTTGTCTGCAGACAGACAATTAGAACTGGCTCTCCAGACTGTGTCACTCAGGTTCTCAGGTATGTTTCCCCTGGAAAGGGACCAGGAGAGAAAGACCATCTTGAGAGTCTTTTCATCCTAACTGTAATTTATCTGCATCAAACTCGAGCATCAGCCAGGCAAAGACTAGGAAGGGAAACGGAATAAGACCGCTTGATTAAGTCAACAAATCTTCTAAAGGTTTGTAAAGGAAAACACTGAGACGAAAATGAAAGCTAGGAAACTTTTGGATTAGTCATTGATTTTCTTTCTCAGGACTACTTGTTAGTGGATAATAATGGCTTTCTATTGTCCATGCTAACACCTGATTCCTATCATCACAGCAGCAATGGTTTGATAATTACGGCTGCTGAGTGAGAAAAAGGCTTGGTCCCTAACAGGTGTTTTCAGAGGATGTTTTCAGGCAATGCCGATTTGTGCCTGGTACCATTGCCTCCACCAGATCAACCCAGCCACTTACAGAGGCTTCCAGGACGGCATGATGAAGGCATCAACTCTAAGCATCTGCCTCAGTGGTTCTCAACCCTGGCTACACATCAGAATCACCTTGGGGAACTTTTTTAAAAAAAAAAATCCTAATGCCTGGGACCCCTACCCTGAGGTTCTCTTTTAATTGGTCTGGGATACCCACTACCGCCATGAGCACAGCTTGCAAAAGCTGCCCCAGCGAGTCTCGTGTAGCCAGAGCTAAAAACCTCTGATGTGGGAACCACTTTCTACACTCCAGCCTAAATCAAATTCTAAAACCTCATGAAAGAAACATACTTTCAAGCAATGTTTTCTCAAACATTTCAGGATTCCAGGCAAATGAAAGAGTAAAGTGTTCGTTTAGGATGATAGAATGAGAAAGGTAAAGAGATCAATTGGTCTAAAAATTATCTATAATTCATTGTATTAAACTGAGGCTAATCCTTCAGGCTGTCACTCCCTCATTAAGCAGAGGTAGTGGGAAAGACAAGGTTTCCTCAGTAAAAGGTGTCCCCATTGTCCCTGTGCAGTGTTCTTGGTGATTCCTGGCCATGAACCAAACAGGTGAGCTACACTGTCGTGTCTGTCATTCTCACGCAGATGGTTTGCTCTTGAGCCACTAGAGCTGGCTTCAGACCATTCACCCAGAGGCCTAGGGGCCAGCTCTGGGAACTGTCACTCATTTTTAGTAGCATTATTTCTCGCTGAAGGACAGAAAATCTTTGATTTCTTTTGGTCTCTGTTTTATCATCGTAATAGAGTCTTTCCTCAAAATATAAAGATGTTCATCATGTTATCCTTACTTCCTCTCCCATGAGGTATAACTTACCATTACGAGCAGGAATTTTGGACAGTAACTTACACACACACACACACACACACACACACACGATCCTTACCGTATGTTCGGAACCTTGGCTGCGGTGGCAACCGACAAAATGACATTCAGTCTTGGAGGCACACTTTTTGGTGATGGAGGTACTTCTTCCACGGCTGTTGAAGTGATGAACTGTCAAACAGTACTGTGTATCTAGGCAAGAAAAAACAAAAACAAAAACAAAAAAGCAACTTCATTTTCAACATTGCAAAAGAGATCTCTCAACAATCACTTCAGAAATGTCTAAAATTCAAGATGATCCTTAAGTTTCTGCAAGAAATTTAATAGCAGTGAACTCTAGAGTTTCCAGGTGGTATTTGTGAAAAGACATCAGCTTCTGAAGCGCATGTGTGTTTTGAAAGCGACTCCAAGGAGACACCCATCCGTTGGTTTCAGCTGAAGCCGAGGAAAAAAACGTGCAAGCTTTTCATCAAAACCATGGGTCTACGCATTTAACATTGAAGTGTTTATGTCTCTGGGCTTCTTTCTCTCCCCCTCTGAAGCACATGTTCTGGAACTAAAATACCATGAAAATTGTGAATGCAAACTGCAATGGGTCAGAACACCTGTCGCATTATTCGATATTTGTCTCTTATATACTAATGGGCCACGTGTGGAACCGGAGTGAAAAGCAGATGCTTCAAATGACACATCAAGATCACCTTCCTTATCGTCTAGCTCTTACTCTTGTTCTAATCCTCCCAATATGTTAGACTTTTCCTCGGCAATGTATTTCCTTGTTTTCTCCTCTCTTTGACTCTTGCTTTCTCTGCTTCCGCCCACCTCCTGCTCTGCACAGCTACAGCACCGCGTTTCTACACAGAGTCATTGTTCCGGTTTTAACCACTCGCATGTTACGACTTCAGGTTCTTTCAAGACGTTTCACTCGATAACCCAGGACGTTCTTCTTTGGTTCCGCGTCTCCCCCATAGGCACCTCAAGCCAATGAAATGCGTCCCAGTTTACTGATCAGGGATTATGGCAGCAATGTCATAGAGTGGGGACAAAACTGCACTGAAGTTGAGAAGACTGGCCTTATGGAACTGCCTCTGTGGCGAGTGAGCAAGTCATGTTAGATCTTTTGATCTGGTTTCCATCATTTTCCTCCAGTAAAATGATGATAGCAAATGCCCTGACATTTTGATAGGGTTGTTGGGAGCTTTAACTAATGTCAACAATAGCAAGCATGTGTTGAATATGTGCCATCAGCCAGGTAGGTACTTCTAACTTGTGTTCATTCATTCAATCCTCACCAAACTCCTTAAGGTAAGTCCTATTAACATCCTCATGTTACAGATAAAGAAACCGAGGCCCATGGAAGAAAATGGTGGAAGGTAGGCTTCTAACAAAGGCAGTTTTCTAAGGTTTGTCCTCCTAACCAGAACACTATTCTAACCCTTAGGATATTTAATATTAAACTCGATGGTGTTATATATACTAGAGTGCTCTAAAAGAGTAGGTGACTTCTGGGTTCAGAAGGAAAGGGAACCACTACATGTTTTAGAGAAGACTTTCAATTTCTAGTACAAACAAATAAGAACTGAAAACTAGTAGCTGCATGGGTTCATATAGAATGTCACACATGCTAAAGCAACCCTAAAAAGTCAGCATAAAAGCCAGGGTAAATAAAACGAGAAATGTCATTCTTGTCATATCCTGTTACACTGAGAATCTCTTTTAACGGCACCAACAGACCACAGAAGTGAAGCTATAAAGTGCAAAAGAAACCTGAGATGACAAAGAACAATAGCTGCAGGCCTGTTTGCCCCAAGAAATGGTTGACTGTCACTCCCCGAAATCATGACAAAATGGAAAGTGAGAAATGACACCCTCAGTTAGAATTCCAGATGGTTAGCATCTTTGGGACTTGACTGGCAAGAATGTCCTGTCATGCCATGCTGGAATGCAGGCACATTCCATGTTAATCTCATCAAGAGTCAGCTCATCAGGTGGACAGAGCATTGCTGACTCTCTTCCTCCCTCCCATCCCTCACGTTTTCTTGGTGGTGGAAAGCCTCAGCTTTCCCTTTCTGTTCACCCAATCTTTCAACGGAGAAGACAGTCTAAAACCCAGAAATAGCCATGTATCGTCCTTGCATGCATGTTAAAATGGCTTTGGTTAATGAATGACAAATTGGTGCATTGTGCACACACCTAGTAGGAACAGTGTTTTGGCACAATCAAAACAACAGCATTGTCTATGGATGCAAGAGGTTGGACGTCAATGCTTCAGTTTACTACTGTTCTAACCCTTACCACACAGTTTTTAGGGGAATTTAAAGCAAATTGTTCAAGAATGATATCCTGTGAAGCAAATTAGTTAAGAGAAGTTATCAACCAACCTTGAAAGCTTTGAAATAACTAAGATAAATTTCTGTGGAAAATGTAGAAACAAATCCCCAAATGTACACAATCATTCATGTACCCATAAGTGCACACACGATTTAAGAATGATCACTCTACAGAAATGTAAAAGAACCCTAAGAACAACATTTTGGTTATCAACTATTCTAGAGAAGAAATAATAAAATATATTGTCCTTATAGATGTCACAGTCATTTGTGTTCATTTACGGCGTAAGATTCTTGGACACGGTGGAGGTCTCCAGGGTGGAGTAGTTATCTGCTCCACACATTGGCTTTATCTGAAAAAGGCAAGGCTAGGCCACTGTCATAAAGACTGTGGTCTAGAAATTTCCCCAAGAGTCAAGGTATAGTAGACTAAAACTAGTAATCTCTAATTCTGTAGGAGTCTATTTGTTTATTTTGGTCTTTTTCCATCTGAAAAACCTAAAAAATAGTACACCCGAAAATCTGAACACAGTCTGATCTCCTTATAAGTAGAGTTTTTAAATTCCATACCATCCATCAGCACATTCTGTCCCTGTCTGTTCCCACTTGGTGTTCCCTTCTACTCTTGTCCCAACCATCCATTCTTCACACCGCAGCCAGGGCAATGTTCTAGAATATGACCAGTATCACGTAATTCCTAGCTGACAACTCCCTACTGTACTGCCTTCCCATCACATTCACAATGAAATCCAAACTCCTTATTAGAAAAAGAAGACCTTGCATGTCCTGCAAGATTTTTTATCTCCCGCTGATTCTCAGTGGCCAGGCTCCTTCCCGACTACAACAAGGCCAAGCCTACTCTTGCCCCTTGAAACCTTTGCATGTTCTGTTCCTTCCTCCTGGCATGCTCTTCCTTCAGATCTCCACACGGCTGGCTTGTTTCAGGTATTTGGGTCTCAGTCTTAATGTATATTCCTCAGAGATTTCCCTGACTGCTCCATCAAAGGCACTGACTCATCCGGTCCACAAATATTTACTGAGTCCCTAATATGAGCCAAGCACCGGATTAGGCACTAAAGACACAAGGGCTGTCCAGAAAGTATCCAGCCATGTTATATTTTCTTGTTGTATTAACAATGGCTGGATGGATACTTTCCAAACAGCCTTTGTATATCAGGGAACTAAGCAAACTAAAAAGGTACTCAGATGTTATTTAACATTCAGCATTATCTACCATTTTAGCTTGCTTGTGATTTTTCTTAAATGAATGAATGAGTTTCTCAAGGATCAATGTATCTCAAGAGTACAGAAACCTTTCTTGGCTTTAAGCCTCAGTCAGTGTGACTTTTCTAGAGGCATCATTAAGCATTTCTGGAATTCTGAAAATGCCTTAACTGACACTGTGGTCTATCTGTTCTCCCTGGTAGACACTACTTAAGAAATACTTCCTCAAGGCAGCAACTACAAATTGAGGCATTGGCACCAGTTTCCAAGTCCTCTCAGAATAGTCTGATGTCTGGGTAGTCTCTCAGGAAAAAAAAAAAAACCCTCTGATTCCTAAAGAATGTCATCAGCCTGTGAGTACACTAATCCATTAGGTAAGACATCTCTGCTCTAGGCAAGTCGGGAGAGACCTAAACGAAGTGAGATCGCAGAAGAGTGTTCCAAACACAGCACACTTACTTTGTGGACACCATTTGTCTTCTGCCCATCGATTGCAGTTGTAATTATCCGCTGCATTTTCACAGGTAAAACACTTGAAGCTATTTGGAAATGGTGTAGCTTTAAAGAAAAAAGAGGAAAGTGAAGAAATAAGTTACAAAAATTTACAAAAAGTTGCAAAACTTTCAAACCTCAGATATGGCACAAAATTAGCAACTTTTATTAGATGAAACAAAATTTATAAGCCGTCATCCTTAGAATTTCTGTTTCCAGGGAACTGGATTTACCCATCAGGCTTTCAGGCTATTTCTTTATTCCCTATTATCTAAATATTTCATCTGTGAATTTCCACTATAAAGTAATGAAAGTGATTCCATAAGCCACTCTGAAAGATCCATGATATTGTTCTACTATCATCAATGGTTTGGGAATAAGTGAGGTTGGAGGGGGTGGACAAGGGGGGTAGTAGTATTAGAACCAATCATTTGATCCGTATGTCGTCCCTGAGAAGAACTGGAGTCCAATTAACCTGAGTTTGGAATCTATCCCTACCACTAATTAGTTGTGTGATGTTTAACTTCTGAGATGTAATAATATTTATAATAACAATGAAGATCCCCATGACTTGCAAAGGTATAGTGAGGATTAAACGGGCAGTTATAAGAAAGATACCCAGTGGAGTCTCCAGCGCATCAACTCATGCTGGTTTCCATGTGTATGTACTTCTAATATAGCTACATTTAACCTCACGAGTAATCTCATTTGATATATGTCAATTATCACAACATTAGACCCTGACCAGGAATGTAACATTTAATATGAGAATGACAGTAATTCTTAAGACCTTACACTCAGGTCAGAGTGTTATGGAAAGAAGAAATTCTGAATTGCTGGAAGTATGGATTGAGAGTAACTAGTATTTTTTTTTTTTTGCCTTGTATCTCATCATTTTAATGGGCAAGAAGAAAAAATGAAATAATTTGATATTTATGAATAGAACAGGGTATAGGGACCTGCGTAAAACTTTCAGGTCATCCATTTTTGGAGAATGAAATAGACAAAGAAAAAGGTGAACCCCAAAGCATCCCAAGAATATAACCCAAAGTTGGGGTGGAAATCTGAAAGCAGTGGGCATTTCAGATAAAGGGGATGATATGTATTGTTGCACAAACCAAAAATTAAAAAAAAGCTAAATTTTGCAGGACATGAAGTTAAATATTATGAATACATTTCAGTTTTGCCTATTTATTAATATAATAGTATATTCAGTAGGTAAATAAATAATGACATCCATTTTCATTTATTAAATCAGTATAGTTTAAAAATACTAATAGTCGATGATGGAGGGTAAATGGTTAAAGTATAAATTGGCACAACTTTTTAAATTTGGTAATTTTAATTCCAAGAAATCTATTCTAAGGTCATTAGCCAATTGAAGAGAAAAGTACATTTAACAAGATTTTCAATGAAGCATTATTTAACATTTAGCTTGCTTGTGATTTTTTTTTTCTGATACAAAGTATGGGGAATAGTAAAATAAGCTACAGGCAGCCATATGCATTTTTTAAAAATGTAAAAGAAATTAAAATATTTTCAAAGACATGGAAAAATATTCAAAATAGAGTGTAAAGGGGAGAAAACTAATATAAAATTAAATTTCTGTGATCTCAGTATGTCACATACTTAAATATATATACATAGAAAAATGCTGGAAGGAAATATTCTAAAATATACAGAAGAGCTTCTTTGAATCTTGAGGTTATGCATAAATTCTACTTTCTTCTAAACATTTCCTGTTTCTTTGGAACTTTCTATAATGAACATGCATTACTTTTTTCTCTTTGTAAAATTTTTATTTATTTTATTTTTTTTGCAGAGACAAGGTCTCACTATGTTGCCCAGGCTGGTCTTGAACTCCTGCATTGGCAATTCTCCCACATTGGCCTCCTGAAGTGCTGAGATTACAGGTGTAAGCCACTGAACCTGGCCACTTTTCTCTTTGTTTAATGATTTTTTTTCTCATCATAAAATTATACTAAGTACTGTTTCTGGATACTCTCAAAAAAAAAATAAAATAAAATAAAATAAAATTATACTAAGCTTAACATGTTCAAAATGTGTAGATAATTTAGAATCTATGAAAACGATATGCCATGCCTTTCAGCCATCAGTGTATCATCATTATCAATTTAGAAATGTAAAATAAATGATAGTTCAAGGCATGTAGCATACATGTGTATCTGTACACGTGTGCAGTATACATGTGTATTCACACATACAGATATGACTGTCATAAATAATAAAGAAAACACAAAGTAAAGAACTGTAACGATACAGATCTCACTTAGTATAGCATAAAGACAGAGGTTCTCACACTTGACTGTGCATCAAAAGTATCAGGAAGGCTTTTTTAAAAAGAAGAAGGGAAAAAGAAAAGAAAAGAAAAGAAAAGTATTCTGCATCTCACCCTCCTGACTATTAAATCTCTGGAGAAGTGACGTGGGGATAGTAGTTTTAAAGGCTTTCATCCTGAATCTGATACTCTTCCAGGTGTGGGAACCACAGGCATTCACATGTGTAATAAATAACTTCTACCATAAGAATCTCTCTCTGATAAGGAATATCAGAGAAGTTTTTTTTTTGTTTGGAGAAAGAGAAAGGAAAGGTTATAATACATGTATACACATATTTATACATATATGTCAAATGCATTAACATTCATTATCCTGTAGAAGGTATACACTAATGTTTGCCTATTTTTAAACTATAGTGAAAAAGTTGAGTGTTATATAACCTTTGCTAGTGTTGATCATGTGTAATAGTAATAAACATCCAGATAATATTCCTTTCCAAATTTCAAACACACAAATCTGTTTTCGAAATTATTAATGGTCATTTGAAAGAATTAGTATATCATTTATGCAGTAGCTTTCCACAGCCAATATCTTTTTCCAGTGAAGAGATTAACAAAGAACAATGAATTTCCTCTGCTAAACCATGATTAAGGACAGTGTTCAAAAGTTTGTTGTTTTTTGTTTTTTGTTTTTTTTTAACAGGAAGTCTTTCAAAACTTCAGCAGGAAGCCAAACCATTTTAAAGAAATGGAGAAAATTCCTGTCATCATACTCTCACCCACAGAAACAGTGAAGACTTTCTGTTTTATTCTGGTTATAAACTAAATGTTCCAGAAAGATAAATGGAAAAGAGGGCCTCAGATGGACACTCTGACCCTACAGCCGTGCACTGGGGCGGCAACTGCTACTTACGGTCAAGAGGTGGCCTCACATTATAGAAGTTGATGTTCTTGGCAAATGCCCAGTTTTCTGAGAAGATAAAGAGCTGGACGACAGCTACAGCTAGGGCGTGACAGAGAGGCAGCATTGTGACCTCGTGTTTTGGACGGTCCAAACGCAGGAATCTATAGGGAAAAAACAGACTGGTTCAGTTTCTTTATATTTTACACATCAATGGGAGCACATTTTGTTCCTGTTTGGAAAGCTCATGATTCAAATATGTTCAGCCATCTACCTGTTGTGCGGGCCCAGTACCTGTGAGCAAACTGCAATCTTTTTGACCAGATGAAAGGTAAGCAGTGACTGCCTTCTACTGGTGAGGCCTCGGCACTAGCCAGGTAAGCTCTAGCAGGATGCCTGCCCCGTGGCCTTTCAGGTTCAGGAAGAACAGGCATCCAGAACTGGCCTGCCCATCCACTTCCACTGTGCCTGAGGCTAGCTGGTTTACTGCGTGCTGGGTCACCTGATCCCTTTAATCCACCCCCAGCTCTGAGGCATGTTCAACTGAAGTTACTCGACCACCTATCTGTCAAGCCCGCTCCCTGAGTAAACACCTATGTTTGATAAATTTTGCAACCCTCTCAAAACCTGGAGGAAACAGTAAAAGTGGGAGCAGTGGGCAGGATAGTGGGGAATGGAACAATGAGGCTGAAAAATAAAATCGCTGCCAGATCCCAGAGCACACAGACATTGAGAAGAGAAACAAGTATCATCGTGAAATGCCAGCCCCAACTGTTTCTGTCACATTGGGGGCAAGGAGAAGCTGCAAGGAGGTTCTAGAAGAAACAGAATAAAAGTTGTTTGAAAAGCTGAAAGCCACGTAATGTAAGTCCTGGCCCACAAATACTACTCTCTGCATTCATAGACTTTACTTAGGCACGGATGGAACCTAGCAAAGGGACAGAGATGCACATGGCACTCAGGGAAAGACAGGATATCTTAAGCCCCATAGATTCTACCCCCTAGAGCAAGAAAATCTATAATTATAATGTCACCACTAACAGGTTCTTTTTGACAAGGGGGAGCTGTGGGTGGGTAGCAGAAGAATGTAACTTGGAGTCCAGTTTTTGGTTCAGGTGGCAGCTCTGCTACTTATCACCTGCCTGACCTCAAACAAGCTCTTTAAACTCTATTAAGCTCAATTTTCTTATGTGTAAAGTGGCTTAATAATACTTGGCGCTGACCACATGTTTAGGTAAATACAGGCTCAGATAGGATCACCATAGGATTGTGTACGTAAAGCACTCATAATAAAATTCTGTGAAAATGTTGGAATATTAGAGTTCAATAATACTGGCTGAACTCATTTTCTTATTGCTAAATCAAATGGCCTCAGTGAGTTTAGGGAACTTTTCAAAAAAAAACAAAAACAAAAACAGGTTTCATCTCTGCACATATGACAATTATCCTTCACATGGACATCTGGTTTGAAGCCAGGGTAATAATGCAGAGATTCTAGGGATTTTCCTCCCCCTCTGTTGTGAGTATATTGGTTTTGCCCATGTGTCTAATAATGTCTACCTATGGAGAGGGAACTAAATATTAGAAAAAATGTAGACACAACATCCTATCATCCCTATAGATGATATGTCTGCCACTGATAGAACTGAGTCGCTAAGGAAGTACTCAGTGTAAAAACAAAAAACAAAAAACCCTGGTGAGTAAGTTTCAAAAAGCAATAGTGCTAGACTTTCTACTGCATTCCATCTCAGTACATAATTGGTCCTAGTGATATATAAAATATTTATATAATATATAATTCTTTCCTAGTTCATTTCAGAAACCAAGATTGACCTTTCATAGTTATTGGATTTCTAAATTCTATTCTTATACTCTTTCTAAAGAAATGGACATTTATCCAAAAACACTATTCCTTACAGGCAAGTGGTTACACTGATACAAATTCTGCTTCTCCCATTCAATTCTCTGAGTTGGTCTGTTCCCTAGTCATGATTAATCTGTAGACAAGGAATGGACACCCCTTCTGTATACTGGTGGAGACCATTAGAGTAGGGGACACTAATCCCTTTTTTACAAATCTCAGAATGACTCTGTTGTAACAGCAATCCACAAGTGTTCTTGTAATACAGAGATGATGCCTAAGATTAGCAATTTCAGAACCATGTTGTTGACATTCAAATCCCTTTATTTTATTTTATTTTATTTTATTTTACCACTAAGCAACTATGAGACCTCAGACAACTTGCTAAAGCCTTCCAAGCCTCAGCCTCCCCATGTGTAGAACAGGCATGGGACAGTACTCACCTCACAGTTTTCAAGTGAGGACTGAATGGCCCAATTTGAAGCACCCAGCTAAGTGCTGAGCACATACTTAAAGCTATTAATAACATTTGTTGAGCACTTTCAACCTGGTAGTAAAGAGCATTGGCTCAAGCACCTCCTTCCTAATCTGCTACTTAGTGTAAGTTCCTTAACTTCCGTGTACCACAGTTTTTGCATCTATAAAGTGGGAATAATAAAAATACCTACTTCATAGGATTGTAGGAATTAAATGCATTATCTATTAGCAATATGCCTAGAATTTTGCTAATTCTGGCTAAGTAAGCATTTACGATTATGAACAAATCACCAGCTTGGAATCACAAGTCAAAATCCCTGGTTTTCCTCATGTAATCTCAGTGTGGGACAAAAGCCCATTTGTTCACTCAACATATTGTTATTGACACCTAATATGTAGCAGTCATTGTTATCACCACCTCCCCAACAAGGCCTTTACTGTCATGCAAATTGCATTTTAGAGGTTGAAGACAGGCAATACACATGGCAAAAACATAATTTCAGATAGTCAAAAATTCGTGAAGGAAATATTAATATAGTAAGGGGACATGTTGGTGAACAGGAGAAGCTACATACATGGTGGCCTCAGGACATCTCTCTGAGCAGGTGACATTGGAAGGGGTGAGTTAAGTGATGAGAAGGAATTGGCCAAGCGAAGAATCCAGGGAAAAAACCAAAGTGCTAAGGCGGGAAGAAGCTTCCTCCTGGGGTGCGCAAAGAGCAGCCAGTGTGACCGGAACACGCAGATTGCGGGAAACAGACACGCTCAGGGATCACATGGGCACTTGCACACAGGCCATGGCAAGGATTTGGAATCTAGGACAATCACAAAGTTGTTTAATTTCAATGATCTAATTTTGCAAAATACCAAAAACACTTTGTCTGTGTAGAGTAATTGGGCCCAAATTCCTAGCCTTATTTCCAGTTCCTGGGAATAAAGGAAAACAAACGATGGTCGGTACAGAGGACTATGGAATTCGGATATGCCACAGCGGTTTCTCCAAATAAATAAATGAATAAGTGATAGGCAACTTAAAATCAACCGAGTGAACAACACAATCAAGGACCAGACTTCGGTTTTGGTTTCTACATCCCTCAAAACAGCAGTGTGGGGACCGTAGCATCAATCATCTCATTGCATAAGTAAGGACATTGTGGTCCAGAGGCAATATATGCGAAGATTCCAGCACATTGCCCAGAACATAGTATCTGCTCAAAAAGTTTCCACAGAGCACACTTGGGACTACTAAACTTGAAAACAAATAAAAAGTAAACCAAATGAATACCGCTTCCATATAGAAAGAATGTATTTTCATTTCCATTTTTAACTAAAACAGCATAGCTTTATTCTATCCAAATTCTCCAAAACTGCAAAGGTTTTTGCCTGTCAAATGAGAAAAGCACTAAATAAAAATGTCTTATATCTCTGGAGCATGCTTTATAATCCATTACCATATACCACTTTTTCCCAAGCACTTCTATCTATCTCTGTCTATTCTTCAGTGTGTAGGTTTGTGTTAACATGACTGTTTTATTTTTCACAACCAAAAGACATTAGGATAATGAAAAAGTAAATGACTAACTGTAGCATCTGAGAGTAGTTTCACATTTGGAATCATTTCACGGAGACTCTGAACTAAAAATTATCTGCTGAGTAGGCTCTTACTGCAGTCTTTGTGGCAGAACAAGGTTATGATAGAGCTTATATTTTGTTCCAGAGAGAGAAAAAAAAACGTGTGATATGAGTTAGACTAAACCATTTGTGTTATTTTCTCCAAGGCCATCATATAGAGCAGGGTTACCTCTCCATATGAGGGAGGGGGTGACCTATGGGCTTCCTAAGGTTATTTGCAAAATTGTGTGTCTGGACATACTTTGGTGGAGTATCTCAAAAGAACCTGCAACCAACATAATGCCTAAGAATGCTGCTTGCTGTTTCAGAATATGCCAGCAATAACTTGACTTCTTGTGACTTGAATATTTTCATATTTTGACACTACGAGAAAAAGTTCTACATATGCATCAGGTATCTGGTCCACACTCCTCAAAACTCAAGGGTAGCTCAAAACATTCTTCCCCAAACAGTACCTTCATCCATTTTCCCTCATAGTAAGCCTGGTCAGAAACCCCTCACCTATGGTGTTGGTCTCCTCTGTGTTACATGAGTCTTCTCTTTGGAAGATCCATTGAACCTTGCTCCAGAAAGCAGGGTGCTTCTCTGCCAGGAGAAGGAATGGATTTCTGCAAAGTGTATTTATAGGAATATAGCAGGGATAGACAACTTGTAGGCATTCTATAGAATGGCAGGTAGCCAGATTTATAAATTTAAGAAACCCCACCTGAGACTACGGCCCACTACTGTCCAAAATAAAGGACTTAAATGGCACTTGCTCTAGAAGCACAACTATTACCTAGGTCTGAGCCCTGGTAACCATCTCATCCTAAGTGTGGCATTCCACACCTCCACAGAAAACACAGACAACTGGTGGGGGCCTTAGGAAGCAGCATTATCTTTGACATCATAAACTCTTTTGAGGTACAAAAATAGCCTACATTATTTTTTTATGTACCCCAGGCCCATGCTCAGCGCATGGTAGATACTCAGCAAATACTTTCTGGAAGAGAACCAACATCACTAGCTATGACCTGTAAGGAGTGCTTTTCTTAGCAAATAAGACAAAGGCTGTGGGCAGTAAGGAGCTGGGAGGGTGTCCAAAGATGATAAACAAATGATGGACTCAAAAGGAGATTTGGAAAAGAAGAGACTAAACAGAGGTGGTAAGTCCTGGCATTTCTTGCTCAATTGCTAAAAAATGAGTCAGCAAGCACAAGGCCAACTTCAACTGCAAACAAGACAAATAAAATAGATAATGGAAGGGAAACAGCTCTACTAAGGCCAACATGCCTATCAACACTCACGTTCACACCTTCCTGCAAGCACCACTTATCTCACAGTAAGACACTTTAATGACAATCTTTAATAGGCCTGGCTTTCCTTGTAAAAAGAATAGAAGGCAAAGTAGAAATTCAAAATGAGTGCTGAAATTTTACTCAGAAAGAATGGAATAGATGAAAACACTCCTCTCACAAGGGGAAATAAGCCAGAAAAGTTTACCGTCCACAATAAGGGTTGTGATACTTGCTTCTGGCTGTTAAGCCATGTTGACAAAAGGAGATATTCTGGTTCCCATTAAATTTAGGGTGAGTGTGTAGGGTTTATTTTGAAAGTGGATTCTCACTCCCTTCTTGCAGGGAAACTAAGGTTTCAGTTTCTAACCTTCCCTGGGCATTGAGAACTCAGTTCCTAAGGCTTTAGTTTCTACCTTCTCTCAATGTTCTTTCTCTATATTTTGTATGTAGAGGGTTATTTCCACCTCCTGCAAGTTTAAATAGGAATTATTTTAATTTTGAAGACATTTCTAGCATTCTATATGCCTGAAGCAGAATCCAAGAGAGAAGTTTAGCTTATGATCAATCCATCATCTTGATCTGAAAATATAAACTCTCCATAGACCACAACAGACTTTGCTCTTGGATAACAACATTCAACAGAGAAAAACAGAATCATGATTTAGCCTTCATTACAGCTTGTCCAAATCTCGAAAACAGTGTGATTATAAGTCATGCATGTATACCGGGTATTGCTCCAAGTGTTTAGTACACAATAGTGAATAAGAGAGACACAGTCCCTGTGGTCTAATAAATTATTGGGACCAAAAAGTCAATCTGAGCCACCGGTAAGATGTGATTGACATGATGTA